AACACTATGATAAAGTGCTGCTGCCATATTATTTATAATACCACAAAAATTTCCTTTGATCTCATAAAATATAAGTCTATGAGAACAAATTATTGACCAAAAAATAATAATGATAATAATTATACGATGTGCTATTCTTGGTTTAGCAAAATTTCTTAAATTAATTTTATCTGAAGTTAATGCAAAACGATCAATACAAGCAAAAGCAACAAACCAACGAGAAAGCATTAAACATATTTGAAATATATAACCACGAAGTTTACAAAATAAAAGTGATTGTATTTGTGGATCAGGATTATTGAGAGTATATAAAACTGGTCCAATACCAATAATTAATGTCATTAAATGGTCTATAGATGCTGCAAAAAAGTCTAAAAAAGAGAAAATATAAACTATTGTTCATCCAAAAAATCGATGCGCATGACTGTTTTTTGAATAGCTCGAGAACAAAACGAATAGAGATCTGCAGTTTTCACCACTCGAAAGAGCAGTATCACGAGTATCTATCTCTGCAAGTCTCTCTAAGTTCAAAGGTTTTTTCATGACTGCTTTTAAACTGTCGTTTTTCTCATTGTATTTTTACATCAAATTTCACAAGAATTTCCACTCAAATTATACACAAATATGTAGTCGAAACCACTCGATATTCGTGCAAAAGTTATCATATTTTTAAAAATTCCTGTTGAAGAAAAGATTGAAAGAGCGATTCAGCTTTTTGTCGCGAATATAGAGAATGGTTTTGGCTGCATATTTGTGTATAATTTGAGTTGAAATTCTTATGAAATTTGATGAAAAAAGACAGTAGAAAAAAACGACAGTTTAAAAGCAGGCATGAAAGATTTCTTCGAACTTAGTGAGTCTTACACAGATAGATACTCCTAATATCGCTCTTTCGAGTGGTGAAAATTGAAAGTCTCTCTATCTCTTTTTGTTGTTGAATTATTCAAAAAATAGTCGCATGCACTGACTTTTTGCATGGACAATAGAAGAGTTGCACTTAATCATGAAGAAATCTTGAATTCCCAATAAAGTAATTCTATTCTCATGC